AGTCTTAAGGTTTATAAAGCAATGTTTTTCTCATGTCTTTTTTTTTCTTTTCACATGTTGCCTATGTCATGCACAGTAACATTCATTTTAAGATTACAAATACTTTTATGCTTCAGAAAAATTTCTAATTTCACATGTAAAATCTTTATAATGTCTGGATAGTTATCAAACATTTCTTAAGAAAAAACTTTGTAGTTTATCTGTTATTTTCAGTAATTAATCTCTGTACGGGCTCGGTACATTTGACCGATCTCACAAGCACCATAAAAATTAGGAAATAAATAAAATTATGCCTCTTTCATTCAAGAATGAACACAAATTATGACACTAGAACATAAATGTTTAGACTAAATAGTTTATATCTCATAACATTATACATTTATATATATTTATTATTTTTATTATACTGGCTAACAATACAGAAGTTAATATGATGCGGCTCACATGCAGTCATGTTACCATACCAAATAACGTAAAACTGACCTTGGTTTGTGCAAAAGTAAATTGTCTTGGCTGTGTTTTAGTGGACTAGTATTTTGTAAAATACAGTCACATTTCAATTATTATACATTATATATGTATATAGATTATTGCTATTTTGAAATAAGTTCTTAAACTTATTTTTCTTAAAACATAGAACAGTAAATAAAGAAATAAAGCAAACAATTATTTCTTCCAGTTACGACCTTTGTACTCGGTTGCTAAGCCTTTAGAAAAATTGCACGTGGAGGATATGAAACAAATATTTTTTGAGGTTTTATATATATATATTTGAATAACTAAAAAATCATAAATTACTACATCAATACCACAGTATCCCACTATAATTTATAAAGCTTAGTAACTAAGATGTATTTTAGTCTAAAAAAATATGAAATTTCGAGTAGACTAAAGACACCCTACCTCGTTGAAATATTGGTTCAAAATAAAAAAATGGTGCCAAGTCCATTAAAATGGCCATGAAAGAGCCATTAGGGGGCATTCTTAGCTTCCGATTTGTCATTCATGTCACATAGAAAAGTAAGTGTATATAAGGGAGAGTTTCCAAAAATGGAAAGAGGTGGACAGGGTGCCACTGTGTTTGATTTATTACATGAGTAATATCGTAGCAAACTGCAAGGATAAGAGGCTCTTATTTTATATTCTAGCTTGTCAATATCAGTAAGTTGAGTTTCTAATTTGTACAAAACTAAAGACTTAGTATTTTAACATCATAAACATCTAATAAGAACCAACATACCACGTGACACACAAAAATTGATGTTTAGGTGTGTTTTTAATATTTACTTTTAAATTAACAAACTGAGTAATGTATAGTACTAAAATTTGAATTATAATCTACAGTTTGATACCAAACTTATTGACACAAATTCATGATGTAGTAGTTCAGTAAAATTTTGAGTGTGAGTACAAACGAAATGACATGGCCTTTGACCTGTCTCAAAAGGGTTAACATCTACAGCAGTTAATTCTAAGTTGTATTTTTGTTATTCTACAAGTTTGGTTTAAGATTATGTAATACAAAGATCTCCACTTCAACCAAAACTTGGCTGAGGTATATTAATAACACTTTCATGATTTGGCTATACCATATAGACAGCCCACAACTCTCTAATTCAACTAAATGATCAACAACTAGCTATCAAATTCACCATAGACATCAACAACCAGAATAGTGTACAGTATGGAGTTGAAGACAACCTAGTTTACAGGAAGAATAATGTTTGTAACACAGGAGATACCACAAAGGCAAGAACTATAATTAGTCTCATGAAGTACTAATTGGAAGATTAAAAATGAACAAAGATTCGCTGTTTAGCTAAACTGTCACTAAAATTCAAGTATAATGGAAAACCATTTCAATTTACATATGAATATTTTGTCTTTTTTTTTTTTGCTTGTTTTGGTGAAATCCTACATAATGGCAAGGTTGTTTGTGACAGACTAGTGGTTTAAAAACATTGATCTTCAGCATTAAATATGAATGTGACAACCAGCAAAATACTTGTACCATTTGGGATCTTAGGGTGATTATAGATTATAGGGAACGGATTTGTGATTGTGGATTACTGACAGTGTTAAAATTTTCACAGGTTCCCATTTTAACCAGTCTCCATGATGACTGCCTCAAGATTCATGAGAGTAGACAGGAATGTTTCTCAACCTTTCTAATACCAGTGACCAACTAGCTGCCTCCCTAAATTGCTGTAGACCACTAAAGTGTAAGTACAACAAAAGCCCAATATGACTTCCATATAAATATTTTGTAAAATTCCAAGTAATGGCAAGGTGATTGTGACAGACTGGTGGCTGAGAAACACTGATCTGTAGCATTCAATAAGAATGTGACAACCAGCAGTTGCATTACATATGAGAAAAAAAACCCCAAATATAGTGTAGAAATACCAGAAAAATAAGCCAAGAGTCTAATCTGAAGAACAAATAATTAAAGGATTCTTCCACACCTACCTAGCTAACAGCCTCTCAAAACCACACTGGTTAGTTGGATAATTATAGTAATAGAAGACAAAACTAATGACATTGTCATTATAGGCTACTACATACTATATTTTTTTTGGCCTACAACAGCAACTGACATTATTACCAGCTGTATCACTCAAATTTTCTAGTGTATACTTCTCAGTAGAGCTTAATTAATCAATTCCCTATGAGTACTGATTACATTAATTCATTTCACATAAAATAATCAATTAATCAAAATTACAATTAAACTGATTAATGTCCTGAAAATAATCCACTAATCCAAATTATTACTTCTAATTATTACCATTTTCTATTTTCAACTATTGAATTAATCATATTTGCCATTATGATTTCTCATTATGTTCAATTAATTCAAGATTGTTCAGCTTAATTAACTAGTGTCACAATTCACAAAAATAATCAATTAACTGGACTTAGTGTTTCTGACTGTTACTATTTTTTTATTATTCCAACTGTCTAACTATCATGTGAGAATGACTCATTAATTGAATACAATCAGTTAATGAGCCTGATTGTGAAATTCCACAAATTGCTCAGTTCTACTTCTTTGAGTAAACAAAGTTACATGTAATTCTTCAGTGTTCTTATATTTCAACTTGTTTAGTATAAAATGTGTCTGATATTATTTTCAAATCACTCTAATATTTAAACTTCAAAATCTATACTTTTAGAATAAAATTTGTTAGCTAAAGTTTCTGTTACTTGCTGCTCACTATGGACAAAAAATCATCGCAGTTAACAAATGTCACTTTTGTTCTCTACTTACTTTAACTGTTTCAAGGTCCGTTCTTGGTAGATCTGGTTCGTGCAGTATTTCACGTAGACCGAGAACTTAGTGGATGCATATTCATACAAAATATCACAAATATCAGTTATGTACAGATTTTCACTCCATCTTTTCTCCAAGTCACCCAGTAACCTTGTGGCAGAAACAAACTTTATTCTCAACATGTATATTGTACATTCTCAATGTTTTTGTCAGTTAAAAAAAACTTGGAGCATAAAAAATAATGTCAGATCTAAACATTCTTATTCAAAATAAAATCAATTATTATGGTTATCTTGTAAATTCTGAAAGACCTGATTTCATAAGAAGTTTATTATCAGAACACAGAAATGTTCACCCAAATTGTTAGGTTTACTGATTTTTCATTTAACAGTAAAATTACAGCATGAACCAGCTATCATAACAGTAAAAATCCAATGTATCTATTACAATAAAACAGATTAATTACAGGTAATACAAAACAAGTACTTAAATAGACTGCACTTACCTCTGACTAACTTCCCTAACAGGCAAGATATCGGAAAACAGATACTCTCTTTCCATGCGTTCCAAGACACAATTGGGCATTAACTCATTGTTGAACTCTGGGCAATTCATAAAGTGTTCTACGAGAACATCTAGGCTCTTAAGGTAAGAAGCTTCGGAAGTAATGATTTCAAACATTGCCTCCTGTAGCTTTAGGTCTTGGGATGAAATGTTTTCAAGAAGACCGCTATTTATCACCTAATTAAAAAAAAAAAAAACTTTACAGTTTACAGGTTAAGAATTAACTTCATGACACAACTAAAACTTGCACATTAATAAGTGGTTGTTTTTGTCTTGACAACATACATTATATGTAGACAATATACGACCAGAAGCAAACCCAAGCTAAAAATGAGGTTCCGGCAGTATATTGCAGCCTGAGCTAGAGCTCTGCAGTGGACACAAACACTAAGTTATGTATGAAGTTTTGAATTAGTTATTTGTGGGATAATAAATTTATTTCTGTACAACACATCGTCTCTAACAGTGGGACATGATCATGTACAATATCTAAGGTACAAGTACATTCAAACTGCAAATACATCCAATCAAATAACTGGGTTTATGACACTAGCTCCCCCTGGTTTTAAATGTAATTAACTCAATATAAATATAATAGTACTCCTGATATGTTATTAATGTTACATTTTAGTTCTTTGATTCTTAGTGCTTCCAGGTTTTTTTTTCCTTTTCTTTGGTTTTTTCTCTGTATTCGACACAAACATTTTTGCAGTTTATTTCATGTTGTTTTCAGTCATGTTCATTAGACTCTTTTCATTTTTCCTGTTCTTTACATCTAGTCATTATTTTGCACCTGTTTCTCCTACATAGAAACTTTCTGTCAGGGTTTGTTGTATGTCTGGGCAGGATTCTTTACAGTAGGTATCTGTGACTTGTTGGTGATAAATTTTAACAATAAACAAACTGAACAGTCCACTTGTTTTTAATAATATATTAAAACAAGGCAAACATATACACAAATGTTCATTACACTGGTGGTTATTAAACTTGTATCCAGAGCTATAAATAATTTTCTTTTTTCATCAAATTGCACACAGGCTGATTCAATTACTTTAGAACACAATTGGGAAAACAAATTATTCTACCTGCTGTGTTATGACAATACAGTTTGTGATAATTTCACTTTAAAAGTCACCACAATACATTCGTTATGGCTAATCACACAGTCTTGATCTAGATCTATATAACTATGTCTTACTAACTCGAATTACATTTTATACGTGTATTTATAGCTTGACAGAGGCCTAGAACATTCTACACATTGCAAGATATTATGATCCAATAACACTCAATCAAAACTAATGAAAAACTTAGAAAGTTCTAGTAATATGATGCAATAATACAACAAGCACTAATTCACAACAACTGAACTATACAATATATGAGAACTGAATTTTAAATTTTGCACAAAGCTACACCCAGGGTTATCTGCGCTAGCTGTCCCTAATTTTGCAGTGAAAGATTAGAGGGAAGGCAGCTAGTCATCACCACCCACAGACAACTCTTGGGACACTCTTTTACCAATGAATAGTGAGATTGACCATCACATTATAATGCCCCCATGGCTGAAAGGGAGAACAATGTTTGGTGGGACAGGAATTCAAACCCGTGACCTGCAGATTGCGAGTCGAGTACTCTAACCACCTGACCATGCCGGGCCATACAACATATGATAGGTACACAGTTACGTACACAAATATGTGATAAACTACCACTTCCAGAAATAACTAAATTTAACATTCACATTAGACTTAAATTGAAATATTCGTATATATATCTAACACTTTCACAGTCTAAACATCCTATTTTATACACTGTCCCATTGCCACATTTTTCATTATTATATAACTTCAGTAGAAAACTTTTAATGATAGTTCCAGGTTTAGTTATGATTTTAGTTTTCATGTTTAAATTGAGTTTTGTTTTATCTGTACCATTTCTTGTTCTTCTTGGATATTCTGGTAAGCTCTCTCATTGTTCTTGTAAGTGTTGATTTTTTCTTGATTGTATCATTAATTATTCTTAGAGGTTACTCAGTTTTTGTTTAAAAACATTCTCTCATGTATTGAATTTCGTTTTTCACATTTTCATTGGTGCATAAATACTAGTATTACATATCCTTTTAATGTCCTGATGTTTACTTTTCTACCATATTTGGAAAACCAGTTTATATGAATACCATTGTGAGTCTTCTTTTGATGAATTTTCAAACTGAATGTTATTTTTTTCGTTCACTTTAGCAATGCTTATACAACCATTTTCTATTATGCATTTTATGTTGTTCATACTATGAGCAGGGTATTGGTTCAACTTTCCCAAAGCAGTTCACAGATCTTCTATTATTACAATAATCCATTGTACTACAATCATATTAAATTCAACTTAAAAAACGAGAAGTTCGACTATTAGATTTACTATGAAAAGCTGATATAGAAAGGTGTGAAATAAATGTAATTTTCATCAAAAAATAAAAAGTTACAGTCTACTATAAAAAGTTCAATTTAAACATTTAGTCCGGCTTAGGAGGTTTAAGCATTAATTTTACTACAATTATCTGTTATGTTTATAAAACATTCATGTTACCTCAGGAAGTTCACACCATAATGATCTCCTTCCACCCGATGAAATCTGCCGTAGATCAGTTGATAACTGTTGAAATACTAAACTCTGACTAGAACTTGATGCTTCACTAACTGGTGACTGGTTCCTAAGACAACTGTAGATATTTTCCTCGGAATCCGAGTCTTCATATTGCTGGATACGACTAGCTCTATCCTGGAAATCCTTCTGGTAGAACTGATAGAGAGGTTCCTCCTCAAATAATGAATTCACTACTTCCTGATTTAAAAAAAAGTTACAATCTATTCTATAAAACTAGTAATTACATGTACTCTGTCTATAGATGTAGTTACACTGTATAACCTGTAGCAACTCCGGCTATACATTAGTTACATGTACTCTGTCTATAGATGTAGTTACACTGTATAACCTGTAGCAGCTCTTGATTATGCATTAATTTCACGTACTTTGTCTATAGATGTAGTTATACTGTATAACCTGTAGCAACTCCGGCTATACATTAGTTACATGTACTCTGTCTATAGATGTAGTTATACTGTATAACCTGTAGCAACTCCGCTATACATTAGTTACATGTACTCTGTCTATAAAAGTAGTTATACTGTATAACCTGTAGCAACTCCGGCTATACATTAGTTACATGTACTCTGTCTATAAAAGTAGTTATACTGTATAACCTGTAGCAACTCCAGCTATACATTAGTTACATGTACTCTGTCTATAAAAGTAGTTATACTGTATAACCTGTATCAACTCTGGCTATAAATTAGTTACATGTACTCTGTCTATAAATGTAGTTACAATGTATAACTTGTAGCAACTTTGGTTTATACATTAGCTACATGTACTCCGTGTATAGATGGAATTGTTCAGATAACATACTGATATCATGAAAGGGGTAGGAACAAACGTCTAATACAAAAGAAATAAAAGACAAAGGAAAAAATCACATGAAAAACAAAACATATTCACAAGGAATGATAGTTTTAAACAATGCTGTTGGATGGAGAGTAAAATACTAAAATAACTGTTTTTTTTATACTAAACTCCTCAGAAATGGGTAGAAATGAAACTGAGCATTTGTTTCCATTCTTCTTTACAAATGGAACTATTCAGTATTGTTAATATGTTGGCAACATTTTTTTCTGTTTCTCTATGTGATTTAAGATAATATTTGAGGTTATTGTGAAAATGTCTTTATACTTTTTTTTAAATATATCAGTTAGGTGACTTTGTTTTTATGTCACTGAATTATGTTTTCTAGTCTTTGTTATTTTTCCTTTATTTTTTTTTATTTCTGCATTCCTTCAGTTTTTCAGCTTATAACCTGATATTAAACAGAATTTGTTAATGACAGCCTTACACAGAAATGCTATGGGGAGAAATCGTACAAATATACTGCCAATATTGCTGTACACATCATGAAAGTGGAGAGAGCACACAAAGGGTGAATAGTGAAGCTTTACTGCTCAAGTACTGAGAAACAATCAACAGAAATATGACCTACTTGTTGACAAAGTGACATCCCAATGGCAGATGTTCAATACTGTGATGCTTGTGCAGGATGGTGTCCCTCCTGGCCACCAGGCCAGAGGGTTGCAACAGACACATGCACAGTGTTGAATATTCTACAAAGTTTGGCCACCAGGTCTAGAGTTATCACAGACACATGCACAGTGTTGAATATTCTACAAAGTTTGGCCATCAGGTCTAGAGTTATCACAAACACACACAAAATGTTGAATATTTTACAGACTTTGTACAGGATGGTTTCTCTCCTGGTTATTAGATCAAAGGGTTGCCACAGACATACAAAAGAAGCTGAATACAACAGTGTTTGTGCAGCTGAGTACCTGTCACAAGGTGACATTATGTAAGTTGATGTTAAGTAATTATATTTGGTGTATAGGTTTTTAAAATCTGTGTACTGTTTTATTATATTTGGTTATACAGTTTCTGGGGGAAATTTCCAGTGTTTGTTTAGATACAAGTATATTTGGGTTTCTAGTTACAGAGCAAAGTTGAGTTTATTCTGTACATGTAGAGTAAAAGGTATTTATTATTAACTACTATAAAAGCCCAGTGAATATTACAGAAACCATAGCCTACCAAATTTGAACTTTCCGATATGCATTTGCAACTTTGGCGGTCGTAAACAGACACAAGAAAAATAAAGGGCTTTCTAGCTTCAGGAAAACAAAGCCTATCATGAGAAATATTTCCTTTACCTAAAGACTGTAAAACATGCTACCTATTGGTGCCTTAGGATAAAAGATTAAAACATATGATGATCATGTGACTGAATACACACCTGTTCTTCTTTTGAGGAAAAGTCATCCTCTTTCCTACAGACCATTGGTATCTTCAGGCTTTTTTGTAATAATTCCCAAGCACAGATTTGCACTAATTTTTCAGTTATTTTTTTCACAAGGGTCTTCTTGGCTTTCCTATTTGGATCCTACCTAGCTTGACATCATAATGATGTGAATGATGTGGTGCCTCACACATAACACCATGCCTGATCTGGTCTTGGGAACTTCCTTATTGACAAGCTTTTATATGGCAGAAAAAGTGCCAAACTTTAGGAGGTATTTACACCTATGTTAGCAATTAAATTAAACTAAAACAGGAACGGGCTATCAAAAGAGGAAGTATTAAAGGAGAAAGTGGAATTGGACTCGTGTAGCTCATGAAATTTGGAGAAATCGAACATGACTGACCAACAATTGCCTTATATGTACATATACTGATTTTTGCGTGAGCTGTCTCCAGGAAGCAAGGTGTGGTGAGTCCCATGATGTAAGTAATCATTGGTTATAATTTGGTCATGAGTCCGAGTTTTTGAAGAAAATTAGTATATACTGCGCTAAATTTATTGTGAACTGGTCATACAATGCAGAGGGTCATGACCATCCAGCAACTGAGAAGCAAACTTGAGTATAATAGTGATTATTACTGTGAATAGTGTTGATATGGAGATTCAAATATTTTTTATTGTGAATGCACGGTGAACAACCAATCATTGAAGGTATGTGTATGGAGAAACGGCAACACAACCGTGAGCAGTGTAATATACGAGAAGGGGAATACAAATATAATGAACACTTGAACTGTTTCTTAATTTGATTTTTATTTTTATTGTACTAAAATATTATCATCCTTCCTAATGGAAATATTTGTTCTGGTGTTATAAGATGCAGAACAGCACCTGGAGGGACTAGAGACGATTACAGGATTAAAAGCTACAGATATGTGAATTTTCTGGGGTATTTGTGTAAATTGGGTAACTTCCTGAGGATTTATTTATTAGTTTGTTTTAGATTTTAAAATTGAATTTTCAAATACATTATGTGTAATAAATTGTAAAGTTACATTGGTGTTGTGTTTGAGTATTCATTATTGTCAATTGTAATTCCATCTCTATGTGACAGTACCTAACCTTCTATCACTCACCAGGACAAAGGTATGTTACAGACATACAACAGATATTCAATACCATGTACAAGGGTGCCCCCTCTCCCATTCCATGGCCTTCATGTTTCTTGGAATTAACATCATCACACTCCTTTTCACAGTTATAAAGATACATATCTTAACACTAGCAGACTCCTGCTTATGATGTTATCCAGATAAATGTCTACCTCAATAAGTGATGTAAAGAGAGGTTGCCAACATTCTGGATGAAGATATTGCTGACAGTAGTGCCATGACTGCATATATGCAATGCATTGAAATGTCATTGGTATAGAATATAATAATTTGGTTTGAATTTAACTCTGAAAAGAAAAAAATGCTTTAATTGATTTCCCACACAAATTATTATAAATGTGTAATGGTACCATCCTATATTTGACATCTGATAAGTGCTGTAACTGATTCCTCACAGGTAGTTACCTAACACTGGATAAGTGCTGTAACTGATTCCCCACAGGTAGTAACCTAACACTGGATAAGTGCTGTAACTGATTCCCCACAGGTAGTAACCTAACACTGGATAAGTGCTGTAACTGATTATCCACAGGTAGTTACCTAACACTGGATAAGTGCTGTAACTGATTATCCACAGGTAGTTACCTAACACTGGATAAGTGCTGTAACTGATTATCTACAGGTAGTTACCTGACACTGGATAAGTACTGTAACTGATTCCCCACAGGTAGTTACCTAACACTGGATAAGTGCTGTAATTGATTTCCCACAGGTAGTTACCTAACACTGGATAAGTGCTGTAACTGATTCCCCACAGGTAGTTACCTGAAACTAGATAAGTGCTGTAACTGATTCCCCACAGGTAGTTACCTAACACTGGATAAGTACTGTAACTGATTCCTCACAGGTAGTAACCTAATACTGGATAAGTGCTGTAACTGATTATCCACATGTAACTTGATAAATGTATGATGGTACCACCTACAGCTTACTTTCTGATCATTCTGGAGTTATATTTTTAAATACAAGTATTCTGTCTATGGATAGATTTTCTGTCTACAGGTGTAGCCACCATGTTTACACATGGCACATGGATAGATTTTCTGTCTACAGGTGTAGCCACCAATTTTACACATGGCATAAAACAAATAAAGGATAATTAGAATTTATATTTCAGCTATGATAAAGCAAAAAACCATCACACTGTTACTTGTTATTTGACTATTAATTATCAGTTATTTCTGTTCCTAAAAACAATCACTTTGTGTATCAGCAGAAAAAAGAGAGAGAGAAATGTTAAACTATTTCTAACATTGTATTTTCATTAATATATATAAAAATGTTAACCGATTAATTAATAAATGTTAGTGGGGTGAATATCATTCATAAAAAGCTTTATAAAATAATGCTTCAAGCAGCACTTTTATTTCTAAAATTCTATTATTCTGTTGTATCAACACAAATATCAATGGAGGACACCTACAGAATGTTTGGATTTACATTTAAAGTTACACTCAAGTGAGCAAAGTGTTTTTCTTGTTGATGAGGTTCCACAGCTTTTGTATTTGGAAGTTTGTGCACTGATGTAGCAGTGTTGTACTGTAAGCAACTTGCTGTTTTATTTTCTATGCAACAGGAAATTAAACTACTACATTTAGACCTACTTTCTTTTTTAAAAGCATTCCTGTTAAGCAACTGCTGTACTGTTAGTGGTGAGTTACATTCCGTTGAATTAAAAATAAGGTCAACAATAATCTAGTGAACATGATTTATAATTCGTGTCGCTACTGACATAGCCCTGAATTCCCGAGTTGTTGGAGTACTTAACACTACAATATCAATCATCCTAACTATGATTTTATCGATTAGTGGTCATTTAGTAATATCTGATTACAGATGTTGCACACACGCTCCAAATCCAACTGCTAAGAACACATGACGATCCATCATTTGCTGTGGACCGGTCATTTTGTCTACAGAAATAAATAAACAATCATCTTCAGAGTTTGAGACATCTAACCTCAAGATAAAATACAATCATTGCTAACAGGAAGGACTAACTTCAAGATAAAACATAATCATCACTAACAGGAAGGACTAACTTCAACATAAAATACAGTCATCACTAACAGGAAGGCATCAATGTTTCTAACATGAAGGACAGAGCAGCATCAATGTTTAACAGGAAGGACAGAGTGGCATCAATGTTTAACAGGAATGGGATCTAAGTGTACTGAATTCCCTATATTAAAGTCAGTGTCAGCAAACACCTAAAAAATTGTATAACTGTATTATTTAATGAAATATGAGTAGGCATGGATCAAGAGGATGGTCTCAAACCCCAGGTTTTTGAAAAATTAATTAAAACAAAAAACAACAGCCAGATCTCCTTACACTTGATTTGTTAAAAAACATTCTCAACAGTGTCATCTTCACGTATCACAGTCTTTATGAATATTTATAGTATTATGCATATTCATTAGCCACATGTTTACTACTGCAGTGCAAGAGCATCTGCAAAACATCATGTTTGATTGTTGTTTTTTTATATTTGTTAGAAATCCAACATGATATTCATTTACTGTCCCATTTTGCTTCACTTCCCTGGTAGTAAAGTATCATGAAACAGCAATTAATTTTTCTTACAGATCCAATAACTAAAACTATATCGGAAAACAACGTCGCAACAGTTGGAGAAGAGACCGAGATATTTCATCTTTCACCCTGGGACTGACCTTGTAACCATTTTGTGCTTGTTATAGTTTTCATGCTATAACTTTTAAATTAGTAATCGTATGTTCACAAAATTTGGCAGATTATCAGTAAACATTACATTTATGGCTAGTAAAATACACAGTGAATACTAACAAAAACATTGAAAACTTTACAGCAATTAATAACTTAAGTGCTGTAAAAACACTAAATAGTAAATGAATTACTGTATAATATAATAAATACTAGCTAAAATACTGTAAAACACAGAATGAATAATAAATACAATAAATATATAGCGAACTAGAAAAAATGTAGGCATAGCCAATTTGAGCAGTTTTTAGAGAAAGCTAACAGAATATGGGTGCCAACGTGCCATTCAGATTATTTCTGAATTTATGGAAGTTGGTAATGTTCATACAAGCTATGCTACAGACCAATTATTTCATACCTATATAACATATATATATATATATAAAGTTTTGTGTTTGGATAGAAAGATTTGGTATATACTTGGAACAACCAATGACTGACTGTCTTTAAATAAGGTGTTTTCATAGCATTGTATTATCATGCATACAAAATTTTCATCTAGTCCTGTCAATGAAACATCAGTGATAGCACAGAGAACACAAAGGTTAGTATTAATGTGCCAGAAGATTCTACAATTTGTCTTGTGACATGCAAGTTTCATAATCAGTGATAGCACAGAGAACACAAAGGTTAGTATTAATGTGCCAGAAGATTCTACAATTTGTCTTGTGACATGCAAGTTTCATAATCAGTGATAGCACAGAGAACACAAGGGTTAGTATTAATGTGCCAGAAGATTCTACAATTTGTCTTGTGACATGCAAGTTTCATAATCAGTGATAGCACAGAGAACACAAGGGTTAGTATTAATGTGCCAGAAGATTCTACAATTTGTCTTGTGACATGCAAGTTTCATATCCAAGGAACTAGCTATTTCTCATTCATTGTTTGTAAAGGTTCATAGGAATCATAAAAATATGACAATCAAATTATTCCACATGTTTACTACTGCAGTGCCAGAGCATGTGTAATGACTGACAGCTGACAATTTATAAAGCAAAAATAACCATACATTTTTGCCCAGATTGGGTAAATTAAACAATATCTGATGGCTTTCTAGCTATCCTCTTAGTTTTATGTTGCTGCATTATGTGCTGCAGCTCATATCGTTGCAGCAATGGAACCATGCTTGTACACACATATTTGTTAGATCAAATTAAACCATTACCTTCCCAATTCTCTTCCTGTGAATAATAAGTAATACAAAATAACAATAAGTTCTACAAAACAATCCACGAATTACCTGATTTTTAGCTTCTGTGAAATACAGATAACTTTGTTGACTCACCAAGGTGCCTGATCGTTTTCTGACACTGCACACATTTACATCCATTATCTTGTCTTCAGTGATCAAAGGTTGTGAAACAGATGAATGAAGAGGGTATGATTCCACATCGCTTACATTGATATATCCCCCCCCTGTTGCTGACGATTCAGAGCTAACTATCGACAATCTGCAAAACATCATGTTTGATTGTTGTTTTTTTATATCTGTTAGAAATCCAACACAATATTCATTTACTGTCCCATTTTGCTTCACTTCCCTGTTAGTAAAGTAATATGAAACAGCAATAAATTTTTCTTACAAATCCAATAACTAATCAAAAACTATATCGGAAAACAACGTCACAACAGTTGGAGAAGAGACCGAGATATTTCACCTTTCACCCTGGGACTGACCTCGTAACCATTTTGTGCTTGTTATAGTTTTCATGCTATAACTTTTAAATTAGTGAGCGTATGTTCACAAAATTTGGCAGATGATCAGTAAACATTACAATGCTTTCATATGCAAAATATCAAATTTTTTAGATTAAGTCTTAAGGTTTGTTAAGCAATGTTTTTCTCATGCCTTTTTTTTCTTTTTTGCATGTTGCCTACCCAACATACAAAGTAATTTTTATTTTGAGATTAAAAACACTTTTATGCATGAGAAAATTTTCAAATTTCACATGCAAAATCTTTATAATGTCCAGATAGTTATGAATTGTTGCTTAAGATTTTGTCTGTTATTTTCAGTAACAAATCTCTGTAAA